ATCAAATTCTTCACCAACTCTGGCAGCATTAACAAATGCAGCTGAGACTGGGTCCAAAACACAGACACAAGATAATTAGTCACACCAAGCTTGGAGTAGGAAGGGCAGCAAAGCAATCTGACTGAAGGATGTATTGATCCTGCAGAGAGGGAGGGGCACCCAGTCAGGAGTCATGATCAATCTTGCGAACCAACTCTCTCAATCTGTGATGAAACCTGAGTGTGTTTGTATGGGGAAGCATTCTATCTACACTAGACGCACTCTGATCGCATGTGTGTGTGTGTGTGTGTGTGTGTGTGTGTGTGTGTGTGTGCGTGTGCAGCCACATTAACACAACCAACAGCTTGGTGTATAACTTGTCAGAAAGAGACAAATGTCTGTGTGAGCAAAAGACTCCCAGGGGTTGGAGGAGAGGGGGGGGTTTGGCGGTACCACAACATCCGAAGCCTTTATCATTGAGTTAAAAGCCATCTCTGAGCCGACGATTCTCCCCATCAAACCGAGCGCTCCAAACCGTGGCACAGTGGGAGCTTTAAAACCGGCTCAGGGAGTGATAAAAAAGGTAAATCTTCCCAAATATTTTTGTATATATATTGGTGTTATCCAGTGGCAGGTCACAGGTGGGTTTCATCTGATTAGACAGTGGTTATGCATATCAGAAGGTGCAGCCGACCAATTGCACTGTAATTCATCTTCCTCTGATAGGAGGAGGAGGAGGAGGAGGACAAGGTGGGGAAGGAGTGCAGTGGGACTGAAGTGGGTTGTAAAAGCTGCAGTCCTCCCTTAAGCCTTGAAAGATACGGGATCAATGTTCAGTTATTTATTTTTGCATTTTGCAAAAAGGGTAAAACAACAAGAAAAGACAGCTCAAGAGTTTGTTTTGTTTCCAGGTTGTGGGGGTGTAATAATGCTCGGTTCTGGCCTCCAGGGTTGGGTGTATGGATCAGATATCTGACAGCACGCTAAGCTGCAGGGACACCCACGGCAGTGGAACTGTAGACGGTTAATTGACAGGCTGTTGGAGACGAAGCAGGTCCAGATAGCCAGTCACTTTCACGCTCCCACACTCCGCGGTCTCCACCAGGGGGAAGGCGGGCCCGCACGGCAGGGGCGCGCATGTGTAAGCGTGTGCGTATGCTGTCAAGGGGTGTGTGCAAACCCACTTGGGGAGGTGGATGTCACTCTCACAGTCATCTACACATGCAGGCAGGTCAATTTTAGACAAATATACACACACAGACACACACACACATATTCACAAATCTATATAGAACTGAGAACGAGAGCCTGTGCATGTGAGTTTTCGCAGGACTCGCAAACAACCAGTGGGACATACAGTATTTCTCGTTGTTACAGGGTGGATCACACTTATTCCTACAGATGCTTGAAAACCACACACCGAGTATGAGACTGACAAGTGATGTGACCTTGGATGTGAAAGTAAAAATAAAAAAAACATGGCGCATGGCTTCAACACGGCATGAAAATATAGAGCTTTTTTTGCAGTAGAAGTAAAGCCGGGTCATTGTAGCAGACATGTTGCAGGTTTGGTGACTCATCTTGGTATGATAGCACATCAACGTCTGTACATTGCTGGTACCAACCCAATAGGTAAAATTCACACACACACACACACACACACACACACCTACACACACACACACACACAACACTTAAATGCTATTCTATATGTACAGTCTTCTAGGTTTAAGCGCATGCTCTACCCACCGCTCTTTATCAATAATGTGCTTATTATATTTAGGCTGTTTATATGTGCTGTCCTTCGCTCATGGTATTTTTGATGTTTTTCTGATTAACCACCCTTGTTGAGATCATCTCACAATAATGTCACTTTTGTGCCATTTGTTCACAGTATTGATTTGCATTAATGTGGTTTACGATTTAATTCCAGTATGAAGGACAGGAGGGGGGTCGAACATCATCTATAGCTTACACTAGTAAACTTTCAATTATCTATAAAACACACAACAGGGACTTTAATCAGTGCAATGACAGATCGCAGGTGTAGAGCCCCTCAGTTTCGTCCCCCGTTAACCCAGGTTTTTATAGCTCATCTCACATGCCACCCTATAGCTGTTTAGTTATCTCCATGAATATATGCAGAAGGGATCTGTCCTTGCTGAGAGCAAAATCTGATAATGCAGCAGCAAACACAGCTGAGAGTCAGAGCAAACCAATTCAGAGCTCTGTTTAAAAAAAAGCCAAAGGGCTCGCTGCTCATCTCTGCGACAGCACAACACAATAGATGAACAATTATTCAGTGTTAGACTGGAAGAAAAATAATCTATTTATTCATGGCTGGTTGAATTAGCTTTATCTTCTGTGATTAATCCAAGTCAATAATGTAATCTTTAATTATAAAGAATGGTCTTATTACCTACGTCAAATAATCACGCAACCTGAAAAGGGGAAAACAAATGTCTCTGCTGCGTGATTATGTATTTTCCGGCCATAAATTAGAGCACCCAGACAATTTTGTTCGGGCGCTGAGACTTGTATTTATTTATATCTTTCAAACAGTGCATGCACAGAAGCCAATTAATGATTGTATGTAATAAACTAATAACTTAAAATAGAAGGAAAACAAACATTCACACCCTTTAGTGTTTTTTGTGATTCAAGCATTTTATAGCACACATTTGAGACAGTGGGTTTTGGCTAAATTTACCATTCAAATGTAATGATGAACTATTATTTATGTTATGTTAATTAAGAGCAATCACTTGAAATACTTTATGCAATAAAACAGATTGCTAACTAGAGGTCTATTGCACAGAACATTGTATTTTTTTACTGAAGAAGCTTAAATGCAGGAAATTATTTCAATTATATTTCATCATACATTTTTCCCAAGAGCCCCAAATCCATGTAGCTATTATGAAAATGAAACATCTGAAGCTCCTGGGATAATCAATCGACAGAAAAACACATTACAAGAAGTCGATCCTGAAGGAGGGCCCCACGAGACGACGAATAATGGCCAATGTGCGCACGAAACGTTTGTATGTGTGCGCATGTGGCTTTGTACGTGCTTACATGTGATTAATAGCACGCCACCTGTAGTAATGGCTTCCTTGCTGTAACGGATGATGAGCAATTTGCAGTTACAAAATACACACTCACAAAAGCACGAGCAGAGGAGTGAATGCGCGTGACTGGGTTTGTGCTTTGTTGCCTTTGCATGCTGCTCTCCTGCCTGGTCCCACAGCTCCCCAGTCCTTCCTGCCTACGAACTCACAGTTTTGTTCCCCGCCAGGAGTCGGAGTAAGTGATTTGTCATGCGTGGAGGCAGCAAGTAGCCTGTAACAAATCTAACTGACGGCCCACGAAAATGCAGATCACATAGCCGACAGAGAGGAAACAGCAGCTTCGGGGATTTTTCAACAGGATCTTAATGTGTGATGAAGTCACCCAGTGTCCAAAGAGAGCTACAGGAAGCTTCATAGACTGACACGGGACAGACATTTCCAAGATGTCAGAATTGTCCGCTAATTAATGTACTCAGGGAGGACTGACTGTCAAAGTGTCATAGGACATTGCCATCAAACGCACTAGAAGCACATAATAAACTTTTAGTCATGTTATTGGTTCAGACTAAATTTTGGCAAACTTTTCAGCTCCCCCGAGGAACATGACATTTCCTTTTGACTGATGGAACGAATGAGAATTTTTTTGAAGGGGGATCCATTCTCAACTTACTTTAAGTCTCCATGTGGGCTGTCTTTAAGACAACAAAGATAAATTAATACATCACTACGCTATTAGAGAATCCAAATGAGAAGAGTGAAATGTCATTATTTCTTTGTTGTAATTTGGCACATCAGAGGTAATGTAGTGCCATCCATGTGATAACACAGAATCTTTAGGTCTCAGGAAGGTGAGCATATCAATGTTCAACATACCCTATTAAGACTTGACACCCACACTTTATCATCGCTAAAGCAATTGCATATTCCTATTCCTGCAGGAGAGATGGGGAAATCCATCTCCTGCAAGGACAGTGCCTTTAATAAATAGTGCACAGAACACAGGCACAAACTCTCCCTCTTTCACCTGATCCCCCTCTTTCACTCTCTCTCTCTCTCTCTCTCTCTCTCTTACACTCATACTCACACACACACACACACATGCGCACACACACACTTTCTGTCTCTCTTGGAAATTGTTTCACTGCTTTTAGCCAATCTGGCTAATGCAAAAATCATGTATGTCTGTCTTTAAATATTTAATCTTAACAGCAGCAAGATTGAAATACAACGTTGAAGAAGCATTACTCCTTCCCTCCTGGTAGGTACAAGAGCTCAGCGAGAGAGAGAGAGAGAGAGAGAGAGAGCGAGAGAGCGAGAGAGGCAGCAGAGAGAGAGAGAGGCAGCTGCTCTGCAATGTCAGAAAGAGAGAGCGACAGGGAGAGATGGAAAAGAGAGGGAGAAGAGACTCGGCTATTTTCGATGACAATTTTGTTGCCATGGACTCTCAGCTACTGGAGTTGGAAGCAGCATTAAAGCACAGTTTGCCTTGGAAAAGTATACAACCACATACGACAGCTCTCTCTTCTTCAGTAGCAGCCTTTGTTCTTTTGACATAATAGATTCTGGAAACAGGCTGAAACGCACGGCTGGAGAGAAGCACTGTTGCTGCCTAGAACTTAGTGAGAAGAAATGCAGCTCAATGACTGAGGCAAAGTCATGAATCTTGCATACGGAAATGTATCGTGGGAACCATATGGCCCCTGGAGATGAGTACACGCACAAAGAGAATTTCAATTTCTCTTGCCTTGGTTGATTTTGCTTTTATGCTTATCGGTAGTTTTGTGTGAACAAGACGAGTCTCGTAAAGTTGCATTCGTATGATTCCTAAAATGTAAAAATGTGACTTTACTTACTTTCTACAAGAAAGTTCTGATAAAGACAACACATAACGATGAGATAATATGATGAGAGTCTGACAAAGACAGAACTTTGAGAAACTTTTTCACTCACCACAGAGAAGTCCTCAGCTGAACAGTTCTGTCCACTGAAATTGCAGCTCTTGAGCATCTCTTCTAACTGATGTCCTGTCCTGTTGAAGATGTCCTGCATGTCAGGGGCAGGATACATCAAATCAGTAGGTTTGTGCCCATCCTTGTTTTTGGGGGGCAGACCTGTCAAGTTAGCCAGGTGGTAGATGTCGGCATCGGTGAGCGCGGAGAAGCGAAAGCGGTTGATATTGCAGATGGTCACAGCGGGGAAAACCATCTCTGGGCTCGCCTCTTCATTCAGAGACGTGACATGAGGGTGCTCCAGGTAAGAGATGGCACACTTAGCCGCGTGGTATAGAAACAGTGCCAGTGAAGTCAGAAAGGCAAGAGCCCAGAGAGTCTGCCGGATGCCCAGGCGACCAGAGACAAAGATGTGGTTAATCCCATGAAGAGAGCAGGAGTTAGCAAACCCGACCAAGTCCTTAGCCGGAGGTGTGCAGCTCTCCTCGATCAGGCTCTCCTTGTCCCCATCCTGCTTGCTTTTCTGCTTCTCATCCTCCTCTGCAAATTTGATTTTGCAAACAAATTCGATAGGCATGGGGGCAGCCAGGTCTGCGTTTTGGTTTTGTTTTTGGTGGCAGCTGTCAGCCCTGGATCACTTCTCTCCTACTTCCTTGGCTTTTGTCCCCTGAGCAGGAAGCAACTCCGGAAAGAAGAGAAAAAGACAGAGGAGAGTTTGTTGCTGCTGCTGCTGCTGCCGTTGCTGCCTCTGCTGTGACTGATAGTGCTGCTGCTGCTGCTTCTGCCGCCACGGCTCCTAGTGACTAGAGCGCTGCTGCTGCTGTGCTGCTACTGCTCTGAACGCTTGTCTCACTACTTGATCAGCTCACACAGTCTCGCTTATCAGCAGTAATACAGCTGTCAAATAAAAAAAAACCTTGCACACTGCCTCCGACCAACAGATGAAAATGCAGCATTTTCAGTCGGACTAAAATAGGCACAGTGTACTTAATAATTCATGAGAAGGTAACATTCTTATTATTTCCTCCTCACTGGCGTGAGTCGCAACTTCCCCCGGTCATCCCTGCGCTTCCAGCAGACAGCCCCCCTCCTGCTTTATCCACTTGTTTGGAAGGCTCTTCTACATTTGAATAAAGTTTGTGTCAAAGGTTGTTCTGCCAAACATCCGGTGTTTGAATGCCACCCCCAATAAGGTCTCTGGAGAATGCCTAATTGAAACAATAATGAGGAGTGCGAGTATAGTGGAATTGAGCACAAGGGACTCCTGGTAATCAATGTTGTCTTTGCAACAAAAAAAGTAAAAGACTATTGATTTGAACGAACGTGTTTGTCAGAGATTAGGAGAGGCAGTACAACAGTGTTTTCTTATCAGGAACTAATGGTAGCGTCACGAGACTCCTGTACGAATTTGAATTAGTGAAAGCCTCCTGATCTGGACCCCGATGCTGCTAAAGATGTTGAAATAAAGTATTGATCCGCCTCCGTCCCTATCCTTGACAGTGTGTGTCTTAGTGCTGTTAATGGCCCATTTCCAAGTTGCCAAACAAAATTATGCAAATTTGAGGCAGAAAAGGGAGAACCCTAATGCATGTTATTCCCCTTTAAATGGAATTAGTCATGCGGGTCACATTCACATCACAAGGGGCTGGGACCTCGAGAGAAAAGGCATATTTAAAAGTGAATTGAACCGCAAACACACATGTAAAGTCAAATCCGAGAGAGCATCAGAAATGCACAAGAAAGGGTAAAAAATAAATCTCTCGATGACGTTGACCTGTGAAATATCTTCATTTTTTCGGAATTTTTGTTGTAAGTAAAGGAGCATTTCAGCATAATCAAACACTAAATGATGAGAATAATCAGATCTAAATTAGATTAAATTTGTAAAACGAATCTCTTTAGGGACAAAACAATGTAACAACAAATATGCCCTGCCTTGTTTTCCATTCCTTTTTTTTGTCATTGCAGTGACTCAGACATTTGCTTTATATACTTTTTTTTGTCGTAGGACTGTCTTTTGATGGTGTCTTCTATAGATAACCAAAGATATCTAGGATATTGCCTTTACTTGATGGAAGCGAAGCGTCCATGGTTTAGCTAAGCCTCTGGCAGGCACTGAGGTCTGCTAACCACAGAGTGTTTTATGTAGTCACTCCCAGAGGATGCTGGGCTTATTTACAGTCTCACAGAGGAAATGAAAGCTCACAGTCCACACCATGACTAAATACCAAATGTGAATAAAAAACACGCAGGCACATCTGGCACATGAAAACCATTCAAGGAGTGCATGGCATTATGTTTGTTTGTCAGAGCCAATAACCCTCCAAAACCCAGGCCTGTTTCGTGTTTGATGCCCTAAATATGACATACAATGGTTTAAATGTCGTTGATATTCAAGTTATCTTTCACACTGACATGAAAATACAATATTATTACATATTACAAATACATTAGCAAGTTTTTTTTGTGGCTTCAAGGGCACGTCTAACACAAGTAATATGAATTAAAACTTTTCCAGTTTATGAATGCTGTAATCCAAATGCTTTTCTCTTTTTCAAATACAAGGCTCATCTGTGAATGAAAGTATTCGAAGGTTTAAAATAAAAATAAAAATGGTTGGAAGAACTGAGGGATGCGGACGGATGATGAGAACAGGGCAGGCTGACAGTTGTATGATCTCATCCAAAAGCTCCATCTATTGGACGTCTCTGTGGTCAGTTGTTGCTGTGATGTAAACTGCACAATTTGGCAATTTAACGACGGATTCAGCTCGCTGTCCAAATGTCAAGGGAGGGTGGTTTATGGCAGACATGCTCATATTATAATTAATTAAAAATGAAATATGATTAATCTATTTTCTTTGGTTGTAGATATTAAAAAAAAAAATTCAACATGTTTTAAAACTGAGTCTAATACATCAATTATTGAGTAAAAACACCACAGGGAAGAGTGAAAAAAGATGGAAACTGAAGCATATTAGGCAACAAACAGCTAATAAGCCCTGCAATCTCTTTTCTGATAGTATTGAAAGTGCTTTCCCTGGAGGACTTTTTGTGTCCAGGGACTAATAGCAAAGGGACTAGATCTACACCCTGGATCCTCAGATCAGGGTACAGTAAGTTTTCAACAGGGGTATCTATGGAGCATACAGTGTATTGATCTATTAATCAAAATGAATACAGTATTTTATTTTCCTCCGTTGGTATGCAAAAGTCATTGTAGTAGTAAGGGCAAAACTTTCTGAAGAAATGTGTGTGTTTGGTTGAATTTCAGTGCATATTATGGAACCTAGAATCCCTGATTAACCAGCTCCAACTGTGAGGCCAGTGTCATAGTATTGGCTGGTGGTTATATAATCTCCGTTAACCATCATACATTACAGCTAAATTGTGATTTGAACCCCAGAGCTTTTACCCGCAGGAGGGTTAAGGTTACTTCATCTTCAGCCAGGAAACCTGCTTTGCACAAGACTCCTAAAGAAGAATTAGCCAAACACCATGCACCGATGGGAGCTGGATAATCTGGTGTGAATAAAACGTTGTGAGACAAACATGGAAAATACAAAGTTAAAAAACATTGAAAAAACAATGTGAGTGGCAGCAAAACTACCTAAACATGTTAATAAGTACACAATGTTTGAATTCGGTTCAATTAAGGAACAGACTTTATGTTAGAAGAGGAGAACTGAAGAAGGTTTCTGCCTTTAGTTTGTATGGCAATGAATGACATTCTGACACTCATCATCTATCCATTAAGAGTAAATTTCCTGTGGGTTCAATTTGCAGTAAAGGAGGCTTGTGGCCACAAGTTGATGCATGTTTGTGACTGTGAAAGCTGTTGTACTGCGGACAGTTTCCACATTTGTCTAGAGTTAAAAAACTTCTAACTCTTGCAAGTGAGCACACTAATAATCAAACAGTCTGAAGAAGGGGCATTCGAGTAAAATTCAAGAAGGTCCAGTTGATAAAATGGTCAAGGTGCGTAGTGCTACTTTGGTTGGACCAGAGAAACAGTCTCAGACACACAGTCTGTGGCCAGAAAGTATAGCTGCTGTCATCTCTCTCACGTCTCTCTTACAATGTTGTTCTCTCCAGCACACCATCTACGCATGGTAAGCTATCGAGTTGATTGACTCAACTGAGTGAAGCTATTGACGTAGTAACTGGATTAGCTGTGACTGTCAGAAAAAAAACAGGCTCCATATCCAGAATCCAAAATTTCCAGAAATATGCTCACTATAGTTTTATACTGCATCTGAGCATCACCATCTGCTGATGAAGACCGTGACACACAGGCTCTGGATGAAGTTATAGTGGACCAAACATGTTTTTGTCAAACTTGAATTGACATCACATAATTCAACTTATAGAACATTTGGTCCAACAAGCTTTATCTACAAATCTAAAGTTTTAGATACATTTCATCTTTAGTTGAACAAATTTTTGTGTTGGACAAGTAAACAACTATGAATGATGAATAAGGGCAGGTCTAAAGTGAATCATATTGATGTGTTCCTCAGATTACATTTAAATCATTTTTTAATGTTTGTACATTGAGTGAATTGCAAATGCCACTGACAGAGATATTTCAAATAATCAATCAACCTAACACTGCAGGTCCTGCATTGAATGTGATTAACAAATGAAATTAAAACCGTCAGCAGTCAATTATTACTCAATTAATGATTTTTATTAATTGGTTATATTAATGTATATTTGCTAACAGGAAAATGCATACCACACATTTACAGTGTTGTAAAGTTGCGGATTACAGCCAACTCATTAGCCCTCCGCTCACTCCTCTCTTTTTCAAGTCAGCGGTACCGCGAGCCGCTGAGTGCAAAAACCATGGTAACGCTGCTCACCTCGCTCACAGGCCATGCCTACCGTAATAACAGTACTTTAGGAGGAACGGAAGTCAGACGGCGGCTGGAGGTGCCACAGTTTTGCACTCTGCGGCTGACATTACTGCAGTTTCAGGTGACGTAAAGACGTGAAAGGCTCACGCTATAGAGCCAGTGTGTGATTTGTCCTTTCTGGGCTTCTGTGTCAACATGGTGGTGCAACACATGGCGGACTCCGTGAAAAAGACTTTCCTTATGCAGATATGAAGTGCTCATTCTAAGCTAACAACAATTCTTAGTTTCAGGTGATTATACACTAATGAAAACATAGCTCTGAGCATTTTAAACGACTTCTACAAATAGATCCCCTGACATGCGTTACATTGTGCCTTTAAGATAGTTGTTATTTTGTATATAAGGACTGTGTCTCTTTCCATCTCTTAAAAAATAAAAAATAAAAAAATGAAAGAAAAGCTAGCACTGCAATTCAGTCCCAAAAGTGCAGCCGTGAGATAAGCCTGTTTACAGATAGATTTGACATTCAATGTTTAAACTTGCATGTGTGCAATTTCTATTCGACAGGTATTAATGTGTTAATAAGTAATAATGAAGACTCATGCAACAGAGGCTGCTGCTACCTCAGCAGTAACACAGGCAGGTATCTGAGTTTAACAGAGAACATGGCTCTGTGGAAGCGGCAGGGGAAATGTCATATTTGCATAAAAGCCACAACATATTGTATTTCTTGTTTTTCTCGATGTTTCATATTAGAAGGTGTGGAATTGTAGAGGCTGCAGACAGCAGGCTGATATTTGGTCCCCCCCCCCCCCCCTTGAGCTAATAACGGAGATCTCCGCTGAGTGAGAAGAAACTTTAGATTGAACTTTTATAATCTGAGGAAATGTCCTTAAGTGAATTAAACCACTTATGTCTGTGTTCACAAAGCCTTTCATTGTAGTGTTTCATCTGAATCTCTATCTGATAACTAGAGCCCAATTACAATTACAATTTACTTTCAGGCTTAAAAGCCTGTGTTGTAACTGTGTTTCATGTTTCATATGCACCTTCTTTCATCAATACAATGAATAACATGTCATAGCTTTTGAATGGATGTACCAGCTCTGGGTATACCCAGAGCTTTGCTAACTGAAGGCGATACAGTATAATTACATTGTGATGGAAATTCCCGCAGTTTCTGAGACTCATTTGTTTGAGCTAAAAGCA